CTTTTCATCAAAAAAATGTATTTTAAATAAGTCAGCTTTGGTACAAGATAGCGGACTAGAGCTCCCTTCACTGCCTGTTCAGATGCCCTCCTGCTGCTTGGAAATGGATGAATGAGGCAGTTTCGTTACTGAGGTTCAAGGAAGATAGTGGGTAATGACAGGGCTCTGAGGGAGGTTGCTGCAACACCGTGTACCCAGGGCTGGAACTTGCAGTGGTCTCTCTAGAAAAAAAACTTCACCTATTTTTTGGTTTGTTTTGATTCTTGCGGTATGCATTGGACAAAATATTTTTGGTGTCGAAAACTTTGGTGTCTGAAATTAGTTCCAAGTACAGGCACATGAAGATGGGTGGTTTGTCTTTGGAACAACAAACAAATATCACTTGGGTTCATTGGAGCTATCTTTGCTCCCTGTGTTTTAAATATTCCAGGAGTGCACTTTCAGGTTTTATACCACCTTTGAATTTTGATTTATTTGTCATAGCTTTTCAGGTGTTTTTCATTTAAAATGTGTAGCTTTTGTTTGGATACTGCTTGCTGAAGAGAGAGGATAGAAATCATTTTATTCTTTACAATGATACTTGCAGCTATACCATCTGAATCTTCCTTTTGACCCTGGGACAGTTTTAGTGTGTGTCTCAACTGCAGTCTCTTGAGTAATAAAACATAATTATACTTGTTTAGTATAGTTCAGTGGGAATGCCTGACATAATTCTGCTTCATTCTTAAGGCTTGGATTAGGGATTGAATAGAAAGATGAGTTCTGCTGAGGTATGTGTGGCCAACAGGCAACTCATTCCAGCAGGGAGAGGAGGCTGCCATAGTTAAGGAAGGCATCTAGGGTGCTCTAATTGCATTTACATTTGATAGAGATTCATGCAATATAAAATAATCTTTAAGCAGTACAGTTAATCAATGTGTATATTGAAATTGAACCTCTGTGTGGATCAACTTTCATCATGAGGTGGGAGCTCACACTGGAATTTCTTCTTTTTTTTTTTTTTTTTTAT